AAAGAGTTATATATATTTTTATAATATTTAATAAATTATACAAATAAATATTCAAAAAAATAAAAAATTTGAGAATTAATACAGTTACAAAAAACTATTACTTAACAAATATTAAATCAATTAAAATAAATTTATATATAAATAATTTCAATATATAAAATATTTTTACTTAATATACAGTAAGTAATTTATTTTTGTGAAATTAAAAAAATGTGATTTATTTAAAAAAAATTATTCTTATATGAATATTAATCCAATTTTAATAAAAAAAATTAGATATAAATAGTTATCAAACTTCTGAATTACTTTTACTTAAAGATAAAAGATGATTGACTTTGATCAAAATACTCAAATTAATCTATAAAATTAAAAAAAAGTGCTATAATATTAATAAAGTTACAAAAATGCATATTACTATACTAATATCAATCCTAGAGTTCTGAATGAGTCGAGTTGAGTTGAGTTTAATGACCAACTCTATTCAACTCATTTTTTTTGAGTTGAGTCGAGTCAAATTTATTTTATAAAATCTTTCAATTTGATTTGATTCAAGTTATATAAATTTTAAATTTAATTCAATTTAACTCAACTCAATTTTAACTCAATTTGATTTTAAAAAAAATAAAAAAAATAAAAAGAATGATTTAGATTATCGTTCTTCTTGAACGATTTTTTTTATAATTCAAGTCGAACAATTCCTTATTGTTCTTCTTGAATGATTTTTTTATTGTTCAAGTTGAACGATTCCTTATCGTTCTTCTTGAATGATTTTTTATTGTTCAAATTGAACAATTCCTTATCGTTCTTCTTGAACAATTTTTTTATCATTCAGGTCGAACGATTTCTTATCGTTCTTCTTGAATGATTCCTTATCGTTCTTTTTAAATGATTCCTTATCGTTCTTCTTGAATGATTTTTTTATCGTTCAAGTTAAACGATTTTTTTATCATTCAAGTTAAATGATTCCTTATCATTCTTCTTGAATGATTTTTTTATCATTCAAGTCAAATGATTTCTAATTGTTCTTCTTAGAATGATTTTTTTATCGTTCAAGTTGAACGATTTCTTATCATTCTTCTTGAACGATTTTTTTATTATTCAAGTCAAACGATTTCTTATCGTTCTTCTTAGAACGATTTTTTTATCATTTAAGTCAATTCGAGTCAACTCAAATCAAGTTGAGTTTAAATCGAGTCAAGTTAAATATTTAACTAAACTTGAATTTGGCTTGACTCATAAATCATCGAATCAAAAAAATATAAACTCAACTTGATTTGAACTCGACTTGGCTTATCTAACTCATGAGTTAACTTGACTCGTCCGGAACTCTAATCAATCTAATCTTGATAAAATTTTATATGCAAATAATAATAAATCTGCTGAATAATTTTTACTTAAAAATGAAAGACAATTAACTTTAATTAAAATGCTTAAATTTTTTTATGAAGTCAAAAAAGTATAACTTATTTAATAAAGTTAAAAAAAAATTATTTTTATATAAATATTAATCCAATTTTAATAAAAATTAAATATAAATAGTATAAAATTTGCTAAACAACTTTTACTTTATAGATAAAAGATGATTGACATTAACCAAATACTTAAATTTATTATGAAATTTCTGTATTAATATTAATAAAAAAAAAAGATATTAAGTAAATATAAAATTAGAATCTATAAATAAAAAAAATACATTTAATAAATTCTTATAAGTTTAAGTATTTAATTTAAAAAATTAAGAATATTTTAATGATTATGTTAAATAAAATAAATGGTTTTTTTTTATTAAAAAAAAAAAGAAAAAAATATAACAGTTCAAAAAGAAAAATTGATACTAAAAAAAATTAGAAAATTGATCATTAGTAATATTAATTATATAATTATAATTATCATCAAATTAAATAAATTAAATATTTAATAATTTCATATAATTTCTGTATATTTTAAATCAATTTAGTATTAAATATATAAAATTATAATACAAAATTACTAAAATAAATTAATAATATATTATTTCTATATTATTTTTATATATAATTTTTTTATAAGAATAATATTATTAATTAAGAAACTTACAATATATTACAGTATAGCTTAATATACAATTAAATAGTAGCAAAAATATTAGTAGATTAAACTGATCCTCTAGAAATACAATATAAAGAATTTTAAGAGAAAGTAAAATATTTAACATAATTAAATTTAATACCTAAAAATTAACTTTTCTTTTTAATTTTAAAATTAAATCTTATCTTATTTACAATGTTAATAAAAAAAATTATAGCTTCAAATATTATATAAGATTTGTCAATCAATGATAATCTCATGTTGAATGATCTTAATACTATACTAAATAATAATTAACAATAATTTCTGTTTCATCTATTTTTTTCTATTTTTTCTGTATTTTTATATAATCTGTTTATTCTGTTTATTCTATTTTGCTTATAAATCTTTTAACGTTTATAATTTATTTTATTTATTTTTATTATTTTATTATATTTAAATATATTTTATTAGAATATTATTTATATTTAGTTAATTTATAGTATAATAAGTAGTTAAATATAGCAAATTAATTAGTTTAAAGTGTAACATAGAATTATTTATAATCTAGATGCAGTAATACAAGATATCTATCTATCTTCCCGCTCTTTGTTTAAGTTTATTGGCACATATTTATTTTACTGCTGATCTCAAATTATTTTATCATGTGAATTTAACGCTTTAGACTTACAAACAGTTCCTGTTACCTAATTTTATATAAATAGAATAGCTTTTTGCTCAAGTTGTAAATTAACTTATTTGTAAGTTTTTTATAAGTTTCAATATTATTAATAAAAAAATCAATTTAAATCTACATAAAATTACTTTTCTCTTCAATATTATCTCTTATCTACTAACTTATTATTGAGTTTATTATTATGAATTTGAATAAATATATCTTAAATTCTAAGATATAATAAATTGCTAAGTTAATTTAAGTATAACAGATATCTGTAGAATTTAGAGAAAATCCTAAAGTTAAAAACTCTAATGTGTAGAATTAATTGCTATAATCTTTTAACTTAGATATTAAGATAACTAAAAATAAAACTAATGATAACAATATAAATACATTTATTACTAATTAAACTCTATATGAATAAGTTAAATAATTTATATTTATAAAATTTAATTTTAATTATTTTATTTCAATAAGTTTTTTATTTTACATGAATTTAAATTATTTTTTTAAAAGATTAAATTATTAATATATAATTTTCTTATTTTTTTTAATTTTTTTAATATTGATTTAATATTAATTCAAAAAATTTTTTTAGTAATTTTCTCTTATTTTATTACAAAACATTATAAAGAAAATTATTTTAAATCTAACAAAATATGTGATATTTTAAGTATAATAAAAATATTATATATAAAAGAAGAAAATAAAAAGATAAAATAAAAATTAGCTGATAGAAAATAATTTAGTTAAAGTAATTAAATTTTAAATAGATATTTTATTAGAAAAAATAATTATATAATTAATTTAATTTAGCAATTACTTTATTAAATAATTTTAGTAAATTAATTTATGAAAATAATGTAATTAAAAGAAAATATAGTAAAACAAATTAAATTAAAGATATTAAAAAGGAAATTAAAAAGAAAGGAAAAGGAAAAAAAGAAAAATGGAAGAAAAACAAAATTAGTTGATAATATACAGAAATAGTAAGAAAAAAAACAAAAAGAAAATATAGAGAATAAAAATAAAATCAAAAGATAGTTATATAATAATATAGTATAAAAAAATGGATTAGAGTTAGATTTTTAGAATATTAATCAATGAATCATTAATTAATTAATCGTGTAATTAAAGAATTAAAATTTTATTAAACTATGATATTAGATAATTTAAAAGGATATAATTAGTTATAATATTTCAGATATTTTTAATAAATAAATTTTTTTTTATAATATTAAAAATTAATCTTTATATTAGAAAAGTTCTTTTATTTAAAAAAAAATTTGAAAAGATCATGACTGAATTTTTATTAGACTTATAGGTAGCTTATATAAGTAAAGTGATAGCAAAAACAAAATCAGTTCTGAACTTTATTCTTTACAAATGTTTTGTAACATCTATATTCTTAGATTTAAATAAAACCTTATTTGATTTCTCTATCTAGTAATATGACTAAATACCTAATATTAAGTACTATCTGTTAGTCTATAGTTATTCTTAGTTAAGATTTTACTTTAATAAAACACCTGTTAGGCTAGTGATTATTTGGATTAAATAAAACCTATAGGAGTTTTAAAATGGTTAAATCACTATTAGTATTGATGAAAAATGCTAAACTTGTAAAAAAAGCCTTTAGAATCACATTAGAATATTATATAATAATAATAATAATAATATATCACTACAAAATATATGTAATGGATTTTATTTTCAAATTTTTCATTTAATTTACTTTATTGGTTGATTAAAGAAAACTTGTATACAGTCAACTCTCTATAAATGCACCCTCTATAAATGCATACCCTTCATAAATGCATCTTTTTATCTGGTTCCAATTTGGGCATAAGTGCTAAATGCACGTTTTGTATATATATACTCTCTATAAATGCACTCTTTATAAAAAAAAGTTTTATATAGTTTATAAATTTTTTGTATTAACCTTAATTTTAGATAATATTATATACTGTATATTCTATAAATGCACACCCTCTTTAAATGCACACTTATACCTAGTCCCAAAGGGGGTGCATTTATAGAGAGTTGACTGAATTAATTTTATCAATTTTTTATTAGGATAATTAACATTTAAGAAACGAACTCCGTATATATTAATGCAATCGATCTTAAATTATGGAATTTAATATTTTACTTAATCATTCAATCTAAATTAAAGCAAACTTTTGATGTCTATTTATAGCTGAAAATGAAAATTTGGATGAAAATCGTGAGATGCATAAAAAAATAATTGTAAAAATTAAATTGCATTGGAAAAATGGGGGATTATGCAAATAGCAAAAAATTCTTCGATTGGACACAAGGAGATACAAAGTCATACTTTCGACACGAGGTTTTCATTAGGAGCTCGGAACTGAAGATAACCTTCGGCAGGCTAGAGAGGACACTCTCCATAGTCTTCATGAGTTGCATAAAAGAGTTGTGACATCGGTGGGAGTATCAAATCAATCAGACAATGGAAACCAAAATATGTATGTATTAATTGATTTGGAACATGCCGGCTGGTTGGGATAATAGAACACTAGAAATGGAAAATATACAAAGGCTTAATTACTTAATGCACGTAATCGTGTGGAATCTTTAGCACCGTCAATTTTTAGAAAGACTTGAAGAACATGCGACTCGTATTGGTTACTCTTATGCAATATTATCCAAGAGATTCGATTGCTTTTGGCTTAAAGGTTATTTACTACTTTTAAGATTCATTAATATTTCATGAGTAGCAATTTGCAAATTTTGATTTTATTTTTGCTTTATACTATCGGACTAACAACCGATTATACAATCTATCCAATATATGACACAATATTAACAATTTTTCTTTGGACACTTTTATTGTTCTTGATTTCAAATTAAAATAAAAGATAATTTTTATTCATAATGTTTCTAATATTTAAACATTTCATCATCTATAAAATAATTTTGATAATAAACATTTATAAAATATTCAATAAAATTTAATATAATCGAACTAACGTTACATAAATTCTTTTAATCTCGATTTTGCTCGCTGGATGGCAATCGTCCATCAAAATCCTTACGACACGTTCCTTTAAACTTATCCTTTCTTTTCGCAGACCAATATTGATATAGTAAGGATTTAGGATTTTTCAATATTTTCATATTATCATCCTTTTCTTGTGCAATCATTTTATCATCAACAGGTTTTATTCGCAAATAAGGAGCAGGTGGATGTCGAATTATATCACCATTATCTCTTGAAGGCGTTTCAGTTTTACCAAAACTATGATATCCTCTTGGACGACGTCCCCCTAATACCTGATTAAAACCTTTTCCTCGATGTGGAGGTATTCTATTCCTTATATGATTTGGTATATGAGCTTGTTGATGAGATAAATGTGATAAATCTTGTCCATCCAACATATCTTGCCTTTCTCGATATGTCATTGAATTGAGTTGATCAAATTGTTGCCATGTCCCTTGAGTTTCCTTTGATTCTTCTTTTAAAAGAACCAGAGGTTCTGAAGAAGGTTCCGAAACATTTGATGTATCATGGGATATTTGGGCTTGCTTATTTTCTGTTCCATCTGGTTTAATTCTTGCAAGAATTACATCACAAATATCTTCATGCATTGGAGAGGAAGATTGCAAATTTTCGGCAATTGAAGTCAATTGTCTTAAAAATGAAATCGCGCTTTTTTGGCTATAAATTAGATAAAAAAAAGTTGGTTAATGAAGTTGATGAAATAGTCTTAATGATAAATCACATACTTTTGAAATTTTTCTGATCTTCTTCCCATCATCAATAAACGATCCAATATCTATGAATATTTTAGAATGTAATTATCTTTTTATATAATGTATATTGTTGTAAAATGTTTTAAAAATAATACATTATTATAAAATCATCAAGAATTATTTACTTCATTTATTATTTTCACACCATCATTGCGTGGTATATCAACACATAATAAATCCTTCAATTGTGATATTATTTCAGAAACGGGATTCTGTAAATAAATAACCAGTTAATATTTAATGATAATACAAATATGACACTTTGATATGTCTTTTAATAGCAAACGACTATATGATATGACATACATCGGCGCTCAGATCAATCTGCAATTTAATACCAGTAGTATTCAGCAAAGACAGCCAACGAGTTTCGATATCCAAATTTGAAGTAGTCTGAATTAATTGACCTCTTCTTTCTAATATTCGAATATTTTTAATGTTCTGGATATAATTGTATGACCTATTATTCATAATAGAATTAGGTCTAATTATATACTTTTCAAAAAACTGAAAGAAATTAACTATTTAGTTTCATAAAATAATAAATAATAATAATAATATAAATATTGTTGTATATATAATACCATTAGATAATTCGATGTATCACTTTGAAACATAGTACTAATTTTAGGAGGAATGTTACTAAAGTACATGGCATCTTCAAGGTGAACATTTTGTCCATGATTAATATGTTGACAATGAAGATATAAAGCGTCTGTTTTAATTATTATTATTATTATTTAATAAGGGTATTAATATATTTAATAAATATTGTAACAACAAAAATAATCCTTATTACCTTGTCGAAATAATATAAGATGTGAAAATGATGTAGACTTTCCGTTCTCATTCTGAATGCCAGAATTACTACCAATATTTGATATCTCGTGTGCATCAGCTAAAGCGTAAATTGCACCCTTCATTAAACTCGACATTAAAGCGCGAGTTGGCGGTGAAATTTCCGTCGGCGTAACCATATGAGTACAACTTGTTGCCAATTGATCTATAAATAATTTATGATTAATAATTATTATAAGTAATTCTGACAATTACCATATATATAAATTCACCTGTAACAACCAGCAAATTATAAATATTTTGAGCACAATTGATTACCTAATCCATGGAGTCTCTGAACCCACTTAAGAACGATTTGACGATCATTTAAATGACCAATTTCGTATATTCGCTTTTTTGAAATTTTTGTAGAAACGTTATGGGGAGTGTGATTTCCTGCTGGATACAATAAATTTACTTCATATGATGATTTTGTATTATTTGATTTCTTTAAGAATATAATAATGAAACTTCATCATGAGAAAAATTTATAATAAAATAAAAAGCAAGAAACAAAATTAAAGTTTAAACCTTCATTGGAACTTCCAAAAGTCGTAAATTATTTAAATTGAGATGCAACTGAGCTAAATGCAACATTGAACGTGTTAAGCATCTTCGACCCGGTGGAATATTGTATAACGTGATAGAAATTTCTGCTGACAAATTAGGTGTATTGATTTTTGCCCACGGAATATCTTTTTCAATTAATTCGTAGGAAGGCATGACACGTAAAACATCAAAATGATATTGTTGCAGTCGTCTAAAAATAAAAATAATAATTTACAAACTTCAAATTGTAAAAATCTATCAAGGAAATATTACACACTGTAAACGTTCAGACTTCAAAGCTTCGTAGATCATATCACGAAGATCAATTAGTTTTTGATCGTGTGTCTCTCGATAACTTTCCATAAAAGCAATAAATAAATAAACAAGCAAATTTATTTGTAAATACATTAAAGTACAAATAAGAATTTGAAACAAACCTATAACCAGGCTCCTCTGCCTTTCCCATTAATATTAAAATAACTTTTGCTCTTATATTATCGACTAACTTATCGTCAGATTTATTTACTTCCAATACTTTTATAGCATTTTCTAACGCATGTGGCAAGCGCGTAGGAGAAGGCGAAACGGAATATGGTGATATTAATTTTACATTGTCAGCAATCTTTCGTTTAAAAATATTAGTATATTCTGTTATAAGTAAAATACATTAAAATATTTACAAATGTACCTGCATTAAATTTTGTTCATGCCACTCATTGAGGACGCGTAGTCGTAAAGGTGCGCCAGCAATATGAACAGACACCTATTTAACAAATAAATAGGTAGGCATTTAAAAAGCCACATATAAAAGAAGCATCCTACTTAAGTTATGAAAGACTTACAGGAGAAGCACCGGTGCTTGAATCAAAAAGATCAAAAACGACTCGACAATACTCTAAGGTCGCTTCAGTAAAGCAAGTCCATAAGGGAAATGATGGTATATTCGCTAATGAAATATAGGTTTATATTAACTAATACTAATCGTTATATATAGGTTGCGAGGTTTCTTTAAATACTCACATGATTCTTCTTGTTCTTTTACACGCGTTTGCGTTTCTGGATGACAGTCAAGCAAAATTACTGTTCGGCACCCCATTGATATTATAAGAAAAGAATTGTTGATTTCGATTCATCAAAAATCTTTTTTAATTTCACGTGACTTTTTTTAGTATGATATGTAAATCTTATATTCTTATTATCTGAAATACAAAGTTTATAATCTTCACTTTTCTTAAGGCAATCTGATTATAAGTTACTAGCAAAATTATATATTATAACTAGTAATTAAAAGAGCTTATCATATTACAACTTAACTATTGTAGTATCATCTTTAATCAAAATATTAAATTAGATTTATTATATAAATTCAATCTATTTTAATAGGCAAATAAAATTAAATTTATATGATTTTAGTTATCAATCTGTATATTAAATCTGAAGTTTATAGAAAGATTTTTTTCTAATTAGTTTAGGATATTGATTAACATTTCTATAATAAGTATAATTAGCAAAAAAATTAGTCAATAATAAATAAAAAATATAATTTCATAATAAAGAATTAAATAATATTAACAGTTAATAATTAATAATATTTTTATTATCTTTCATAAAAGTAATAAAAGTAAAGATAATGCTGAAATTAATTGCAACTTTGTGATACTTATTTGTTACTGGTTGCAACTAATTACAACTCAATTTTTATTAATATTGAAACTAATGATGTTTATTTATCATCAATTGCAACTAATTATAGCATCATCTTTAAATAAAAGTAATATTAAATATATAACTAAAAAATGGGAACTGTTGTGTATCCAGAGCAATTTTTAACCTTTTTTTTATATTGGGATGTATGCTTTTATTCAAATAATAAAATCATTGTAATAAAATCATTGTAATAAAATAATTGTAATAAAATTGTATATAATATGATTGTCATTAATAAATATAATAATAAAGTGATCGAATGTAACATTAAAATGTAATATAAATCATAATATCATTCAACAACGTTTGTAACATGCAACAAGTTACATACAAGCTACAATAACGAGAATACTGAGCTTTTATTCTCGAGACATTTGTTAGTTCACATCTACTATGATAAAATGCGCAATAAAGTTAACCTTAACACTCTTCAGAAATGTAAATTAAGAGAAAATAAAACGCCTGAACATTATGAGGCTCATCTTATTAAGAAACGTGAGAAAAAATGGAAAAGAAAGGCGGTAGAAATTACTGAAGAATGGGATGCACGTTGCACATATTATCGTGAACGAAAATGCCTAAAAGTAGCAAATAAAAATATTAAAAACCACTATAATCTAATGCAGCTGCAGCAGGATCAAGCCATGAAGTTGCAGCAACTACAGCCGCAGCAGCAACGATCTATGAAGCTACAACTGCAGCAGAATCAAAGTATGTCAGAGCAGGATTGAGACATTCCAGAGCGGTAAGATCAGAGTGTCGAAGTTCCATCTGAGCTCAGTAAATCTGAACGAGACCTTCTACAGAAGTTTTGCAATAAAATGGACAAATTAAAATATAATCTTTGCCTTATATGCAATAAAAGCTTTCCGTCTATAGTGCTTGTAAAAGGAGAATGCCACTGCTGTTATAGTAAAAAGACTTACCCAAAGAAATTTTTTGCAGAAAATAGCATGGATTCTGATGATGTACCTGATGAACTCCAAGGGCTTACAGAAATTAAGGAGATGTTAATTGCTGGAGTCTTTCCTGTAATATCTGTTTACAGACTTCGTGAAAGACAATGTGAATATTATGGAAATGTAATCAACTTCCCCCAAGATGTATAAGGATTTGCTACTCACCTTCCTTGGCATCTATCGTCATTAAATGTACTTGTTGTACATCGTGAAATTGCAGATAATTTGGCAGCATTCAGAGATTTTACTGTCTGTCATGTCAAAATTGCTCGTGCATTATACTAGCTAAAAGAGAACAATCATTATTATACTAATATTATAATAGATGATGAGATTCTTTATTCTTTATCTATTAGTAGATCTATTGATGATCACCTTCAGAATACTCAAATAGTTGCTGAGAATTTAAATAATAAAGATGAGGGAGATAAAGGTAATGCAGTTACGTGCACTTTTGTTCCACTTCTTCCTTCAACTTGTCATGAAAATATTGCTATTCAAAATACCCTTGATCGTGTGCAAAGCCAAAACTGCCCTATAAAATGACTACAGATCAGCAACAATCCTATCAATGAATTCCAAACGCCAGGGTATATTGCATGTGCGTTCCTAACATTATATCCAACTGGATGTGCAGATTTTTGTGTAGAGCGAATTAGGAACATCAAACCTGCCAAATACTTTAGACATCTGCTTCTATATAAAGACGGAAGATTTGCATGTCATCCTCGTTGATGATATTTCGTATTGAATTTTCAGATGCGATGGTGAGTACTACAGGAAGGAAAAGTATATGTTAAGCAAAACTTAACCAATTCTCAAATTACTGTCGCAGATATTCAGAAGAGAATAATTTAAGGCGATAATCATATTATTGATAGAATTATACGATTTAGCAAAAGGCTGTGTGGATCTTGGCAGTTTTGGAATGTAAGGTATTAGAAACTTTTAGATATGATCAAGCAAATAGGATCACAGGGCTTGATCTTCTTTACATTTAGCACTGCTGATTTGCATTGACCTGAACTCCATAAGCTTATACCATCTAGTTCCACAGAAAGAGAGACCAATAATCAAAACATTATCGATAATCCTCATATTGCTATTTGGTTCTTTAACAAGCGATTTGATTTATTTTTTAATAATGTTTTAAAATGACAATAGGATTTGAAGGATTAGTAGTACCGATTTGAGTGGTAATATTGTAGTAGCGTTCATGTTTATAGAATCAGAAAGAAACATAATGCATCTATAATAGAATGAGAACAAATGTAGAAAGACAAGAATATTATGAATGAAATAGTACAATACCTTAATTCTCTGGTTACTACGATAAACCTAGGACTCAATACACCTACTTCTGATCAGCATTCGTGTAAAAAGTGTAAAGACGAAGTATGCAATGATTAACAGAATTATGTTGAACTGATCAATAAGCTACAACGATATACACGATACAGTCCTTCGTATTGTCTTTGTGTTAACCGAAATGGTCAGCAATCTTGCATGTTCAGATACCCTAAAGAAAATGTTGAGAATACTTTTGTACGTGATGATGGTTATGGTCAACCTGAGCTTGTAACAAAAAGGAACGATCCATTGATCAATCTGTACAATAGGCTCTAACTGCAAGGTTGGCGAGCAAATGTCAACCTAAAGCCGATTTTAAGTATTTATGCTGCCTTGTAATATATATTAAAATATGCAAGCAAAGCGAAACCGCGATCTGTTGCCTTCTCAGAAATATTGAATCGAATTTTAAGAAATAGCAATTCAGATGAACAAATACTTGTCTTAGTCTAGAAATTTCTGCTACACAGTGTTATAGAGCGTGATGTTTCTGCTCAGGAAATATGTCACATTCTCCTTGGTATTTCATTATATTACTTAAGTAGGTCATTTGTAGCCTTGAACTTTAATAAAGAAACACTAAGATAGATTCGTGATACTAGAGAAAGCAGAGAGCTTTCTACAATCAATTTTAGACAGATAGAATAATCTCCATTAGAAAGATATTAGAACTGAACTACTGAATTCAAAGATTTCACATTATATCAGCTCCATTTAACTCATAAATTCACTAAAAATAAATGAAATAAATGCAAAAAGAAAATATTGTATGTATCTTTTCACGTTTGTCAGCCTTGTATAAAGGTCTTTAGTGGAAAGAATTTTGCTGTATAAAAGTTCTTTTTCACGTTTATCATCGAGATCTCCAACAGTTAACTGAAAATGAAACTATTGCATAGTCAGTTTTATATGATCGGTATCTTGAAGAGATCAATGCTGACCCAATTGACCTTCTTGAACCTCCTATTGAAATCGAAGAAAATGAAATCATTAGCGAAGATGATGATAAATTACTCAAAGATGATGAGCAGGACTAAAGATGGCGTTGCAACATTGTGACACTTATTTGTCACCTGTTGCAACTTAAATTTTAATAATGTTGCAATTTGTTGCAACATTGTGATGCTTATTTGTCACCTGTTGCAACTAATTGAGGCGCCATCTTTAAGCAGGACGAATTTTGACTCAATTGGATATTTCTAGTAGAAATAGGTTCAAATGCAGTTATCAATTGCCTTTCTGACCTAGGATTTCGTGATATGGATTGAAATCACAATTGGATCAATGATGCAAGGAAATGATACTCTAATAATGATCTTATAGATGCTGATACCTTTGTGGATAGAAATTCTGGTAATGAGCAAAGGAATACTGAGGAAGAAGAAAATGTAGATATTGTAAATTATGAAATGTTAAACGAAAATCAAAGGATGGTCTTTAAATGAATAGAGTCACATTATGGCAATATATTCATGGGTAATCAAGACGAACTATTAAGAATTATCATTATAGGAACAGCAGGAACTGGAAAGACCTTCTTGATTAAAGCAATCTGAAGATGACTTCAGGAAATGGTAGGAATAGAGTCAAAATTACTTGTATCTGTACTTACACTAACAGGTATTGTAGCATTCAATATAAGCAGGATAACAATCTATTTGTCTCTTTCAATACCAATAATTATTGATAAAAATCTTAATATAAAAGGCGAATGGTTAAAGCTGCTCCAGAATAGGCTGCAAGATGTGAGCTACATTATAATCAATGAGAAAAGCATGGTTAGCTGTCAAATGCTTAGTTTAATCAATATGTGGTTCTGGCAAGCTTTTCCTGAGCACAATAATCAACCCTTTGGAAGCAAATCAATTATTTTGTTTGGCGATTTTGATCAGCTTTCACCTGTACTTAATCTTTTCATATATGTCAAAATTTTAAAAAATACATTGTCTAACAATGGTCTTGCAGCATACAACCTATTCAAAGAGGTGTACAAGCTTGATGTTGTTTAGTGCCAATCTGGAGATTCTCAAGAACAGCAGGAATTTAGAGAAATCCTCCTAAGATTGCATAATAGAGAGTTTACTTTAGCTGACTGAAGGACTTTTACCATAAGATTCGAAGGAAATCTAAGTAAAATAGAATGCAATAGATTCTCTGATGCTACATATATCCTAATGAGATAGATTGACGTTAATAAAATTAATATAAACTAACTTAGGTTTCTCAATGTTCCTGTTGCTAAGATCCTTGCTGTGCATACAAGTGGTAATAAAGCTAAAACAGCTAACGCTGATATTGTATATAAATTATAATTATTACTGGCAAGTAGAACGCAGATTATACTGACTACAAATCTGTAGACTGAAGCGGTTTGGTTAATAGTGTAATAGGAACAGTCCAAGATATCCTGTTTAGTGAAGATCAAGGACCGCCATTTCTTCTTATAGCAGTTCTCATTTCTTTTGAGAACTATAAAGGTCCTACCATTATTAACCTAGAAGGTACAAAAGTTATCCAAATTGCATCCATTTGACGTATCTGAAAAGGTAAGTTTAAAACATTATGCTCATGTCTACAAGTTTCTGTTCATTTTTCGTAGGCTATTACAGTATACAAAAACTAAGGTCTTACATTACAGAAGGCTGTAATAGATCTTAATGAAAAAGAATTTACAGCTAGTCTCTCATTTGTAGCGGTGTCTCAGGTTCGCATACTTGAAGATATCCTTTTCAAAACCTTCAATTTTGAGAGACTCTAGCGCATCAAAGACTGCAGAAGGTTAAAAGATAGAAAAGACAAAGAAGAGCACTTGATCTCTATGATACCTAGTAATTGAATATAAACTTTCAAATAAAATAACAATAAAGAAAAAAAACATTTTTTTTTAATAAAACTCAATTTTTATTTATCATTATTATATTAAATAAAGCTCTTAATTTTTACAAATAGAACTATTCTAATTTACTAATCTAATACTACTAATCTAATATTATTAATCTAACACTACTAATCTAATACTACTAAAATGAAGCAAAAAGAAGTGAGAAGGACAAAAAAAAGTGGCTTATTACTATTGTTACTATTGTCCTACGTGAGATTATAATTATTTTTGATTATCGATTTATTAAATATCCAATCAGAATTGATGTGGCATGACTTTTGAAAAATTCACATGACAGATCAAATTTTACTCTAATTCCTAAAAGTATAATATCCTACGCTTTGCTTCAGACAATAAATTATTAATTATTTAATAATTTTATCTTTTTATTTTTAAATATAAATTTTATAACTTTTTTTTTAATTATTAAAAATTTTTAAACCAATTTTTATAATAGTATAAAAATCTTTAAGATTATTTAATTAGAATAATAATAAATTATTTAATTAAAATAATAGTGAATCATACTTTTTGAATAGTAATAAATTGTTTGAAAAGAATAATAATATATTATTTAATTAAAAT